GAGTTTAAGCAGTCATTTTTTAACTGAATTTAATTCTATCTTAATTTTATCACCAATTCCGTGCTTCCGTACTTGTGCTGTAAAAATGTAAAAGCAAAAACTTTCAAAGTCAGGAGATTTTTAGGGTGTTTTGAGTCAGCACTGGTCTTGTAAAGTGGCAATGGACTTTTTTATAAAACAGCAATATTTGAATTCCCAGTGCTATCCTACTAAGTGAACAGTTAAAATAGGCATCCCATACNCCTACTCAGTGAACAGTTAAAAGAGAAATACGATACAAAAAAAAAAAAAAAAAAAAAGCTGTTTTGACAATCCTATCAAAGTCTTTCCAGTCCTTCACAAGTTGGACAGAGATCCTAAATTAAATATAACATTGGACTGTTTTTACATAACCCAGTAGGGTTTATACATTGAATAACTGTTAGCATACCAGTTCTTTTTTCTTTTCTTTGATGATTTTCATACTGAGGTTTTTATTTGCCAGCTTTTCTCTCTATAAATATCAAGAAGGAATATGTATGCTTTTTAAAAATCTACTCACATTGCAGAGCAGCAAATCCATGACTGTTTTTTTTTTCTTTTCACATCTTTCAAGAGCCTCTGAAACTCAGATGAAGTTATTGTAGTTTTGTGTCAATCACAATTTATAATTATTTATATGAAACCAAAATCTTCACCATCTTCAACAAAGGTGTCCACATTAGTTTTTCTTTCCAGTAGGTAGCTGAGTACACCTAGAAAGACTGTAAAATTATTACAGTAAAGCACTTTATCTTTCCTTTAATTGCAAGATAGAAGAGATTTAATAAAAAAATTTATATCAACATTTACAGGATCATCCCAAATACCAGGTTTATCACTGTAAAATCACATAGAGCTTGTTCAAGTTATCTCACAAGTTGCATTAATGAAAATTAATTAAGTATTTTCAGGTATATATTTTCTCAACATTTAAGAAATAACTGTGTGCATGCCTATCAGTGTGTAGTTCACCCAGTGATTCAGGAGGATACAGTGCAGAAAGGTAGCTGGGACTTGATAATCACATCTTCACCTGTGAGATCTCATATTGTTCAGGAACAATCTATTCTGGTACCATTACATTTAAAGCAAATCCCCCATCGTTCAGGAGCCAGAAAGAATTTTCCAGTGCTCTTTACTTTCCTCACTGTGCAGCAATGATCAGATCACAGCTTGTCCAATACCATTCTCAAATTCATGGGTGAGCCAGCTGGTTTTATAGCCTAGCAAAGTGAATTGGTGTGAGTTTTTTTCTTGCAGGCCAAATGAGCTGTTAAGAAAGTTTTTCTTCACACAAAAAGAAGAAATAAAATGGTATGACTATAATTTTAAAAAAAAGAGAGAAGGAAGTTACTAGCAGGCAAAGTTAAAGTTATTTTTCTAATATAAAGGTGTAGACAGGCAAGGAAGGACAGGGAGCATTGTCATTCTGGCAAAGGATACTCATATTACATGAGCAAAAATATTGACTTTAAGGTGAAACTCTCAGTAAAACTGCAGGAGACAGGTCATTAAGGTACATTAGATTGACTGGAAGGAAAAGCAAACTGGAAAAGACAGTGTTAATTCAGTATTGGCTTGTCTGCAGGCCTACTCATTACTTCTTACTTGGCATGAACCACAAGGTGCTAATCTAGGTTAGCAAGAGAAAACAAAAAGACACATTTTCCATAATGAAGTTATATTAACCAACAGTTTGTAGCATATTGCAAGGCACAAGAGTATCGCTTTCTGTAAGTACAGGTAATTTTCTCTGTATGATCAACTGAAAATCTGCTCCAACAAGAAAACACAAAATTTGGTCTATCTAACAATCTAACAATCCTTTGTGAGGAACAAAAGAGTGCCAGAATCTTGGAGAAGCAAGCATTAGAGGAATATCAGATGAAATGTAATCATTTACATGGGTAAGAATACTTAATCAGTGTATATTCAGGAATATTGAAACTGCTGCTACATAATCATAGGGCCTTTTAGTAAATCTACCAAACATGAGCTCCAATGGAAACACAAAGTAGTGAACAACTTACCTGTCTTTCAGAAACAAGAAAAAGGGATCTCAGTAGCAGCAAGGCTTTTGAACATGTTTTTGATTAAAGACTAACTGCAAATATGGAGATACACTGAGAACAGTGCAGAGGGAGTTTAGCAAAAGTTGGTTGGTCAGACTATCCTGGTAACTGATTTTTTACACCAAACAAGTGATATGTGCTTAATTAATCTATACTTTACATTTTACAAAATTACAGTTATAACTGTAACACTTCCATGTTAGCCTGGAAAAGACAGTGCTTAGCATGAAATGTAAAGACGAATGTCTAGAAAGCAGCTAAAGAGTTCTGCTAGAGGAATCTGGACTGAAAGATTAATATTATTGGAGAGCCGTGCAATAAGTCTTCTGTCTAATTTCATTAATCACTTAAGCACAAAAACCAAGGGTAGAAGTCAGGTCCACTTCCAGAGATGTAAATTCAGGAATCTATGGTGTAGCTGTGTCCAGAGCAATGGAAAGGTGATCAGTGCAGCCAGTGGAGTCATATCATACCCAGCATGAAAGCTCAAACAGCACACAGCTTTGTGTAGCAGTCAGTCACTGGACATACTGTAAGATTATATTTCTGCAAGGCAGATGACCTAGTAACAAAGGCCACAAACAAGCTCAGTTGCCAATGTCTTCTTTGCCTGTATCTTTACTGGTAAGGTCCATGTGCTCTTTGCTTGCAGAGGTTTGCAATAACAGGAAGCTAGACTTGATAATCCAGGGTCATCAAATGGAATAGAAAAGAACATTATTTTTGAAAAGTAGTTTTCAGTGACCTGTTGTCAGACAATGGGCTCCACAGAATTCCAAGTCTTTGGGAAGGAAGCCTCTTCTGGATGAGCATTGTAGTCCAGTCTATTAATCCAAAGGCTTCCAAACTATGTTAAGGCTCACAGAAAAGTATGCCCCTATACAGTATTTTTCAGCCTAAACTTTTTCATGGTCAACCTGACTTATCTATTCCATTCTAAATGGGGTAGAAAACCAGTGTTTTAAAAACAAATAAAACCCCTTATTTTAGAGTCTGTTGCCAACACTGGCTTGGCTCAGCTTTGTCAATGTATCTGAGGGATGTTTTCATCTGTTTGCCAGAGCAAGTATCCTACAGAACCTGATATTCTTTTATTTTCTTACTGCATTCCCAACTGTGCATATTCATTCACTTGTGCACAATAAAGGCACTGCTGAGTTTGTGACAGACTGCTGGAGACAGTGCCTTTGAGTGTTAAACCAAATGGTGATCACACTGTGTCTATATACAAAACCATCTCCCTAGTGCTAAGCCCATCCTTGTAGGCAGAGCAAACCAGGTAAAGTATTGCTTTCATCTGAAATTCCTTTGCCTCTCACAACTTTTAAATGATTTGCGTTAAGCTAACATACTGTACACACCCACAATTCACTTGCTCCTTAGTATTGAGACACTTCAAATAAATGGCAAAAGTCAGTGTAATAAGCTGTTTGGTTCTGTTTGGGTTTGTCTTCTCAATATATGAGTTGGTAGGGGAAAGGTAATACTTTTATTTTACCAATTGAAATATTTGTAATTTAGTCTCACTTTCACCAGTACAGATTGTTGAAATAATGCACTTTGCTGCTGTTTACAGAGGATTTTTATTGCACAGTCATAGTATAAAGCCAGTGCATGCCATTCTGTCTCAGTCTTTGCAATAATACCTGACTGAAACAAATCAGGCTTTAATCCCAGACTGTCATGTGCCAAATTCCACAGTTTATGAGGTGTCCACTGATGGCTCAGAGGGGAGATCTGTAAGTGAGAACTGCTGAAGTACATATTTCAGCCATCTGTAATCCCTCTCATCCTGAGGGAACACGACACAACTGGAGGCACTTCTGAGCAGTTTGCTGGAATAAACCTTATCATCCCTTTTTTCTGTTGGGGTCAGCAACAAGCTGACACTGACCAAAAGCTTTTGTGTCAAAATGTATAGACCAGAGTGCAGTCTATAGGAAATGCCATTCCTGTCAATCACTGCTTTAGGTGATGAGCCTAAAGCAATTCTGAGCATGCAGACAAAGCGAGAGTCACAACAGACAACTTCTTAGTCCTCTAAATGCTTACGGATTCATTTTATAATATTTTAAATTACTACTAATACTAATACTAATAATAATTATTATATCCCAGAACACTGTGTTCTTTCAAATTGAAGCTAAAGACACTTTTATAAGAAACTGACTTTTAAAAGACTATATTCCTCAACTGATATGTTACAGGACATAATATATGTCTAAAGACAGGTTAGGCAGGCATATGGAAATGCAACCTTATTGATTCATAAAACTGTTGAGACTTTAATTGAGTAGCATTAAGGAGTTCAACTTAATGATGTTAGCTTTCAATTTAAACTCTGAGACTAAGAGGTTTATAATGATAATTTTCATCAAAACTTCTTATTGAGGATATTACCTGGAAGTGGAATGCTTAAAAGCTACATTGCATAAAAAGACATACATACATATATATGTATTAGAACTTATATGGCCTGTAATGATTTTTATATTTTGTGGGTTGGACTGATGAATCTCTGTCTCCCATTTCAGTTTATTCTATGTAGGATTTAATGAACTGCAAGGAAAAGACAAATTAAAGACCAGAGTTGGATGAACAGCAGTCCATTATCCAGTCAGTTTTAGGAAGACACATTTTTAACCTCTGTTTTGGACAGATTTTTCCATACTGTTCCTCTGTGAATGTATTCTAGTTTGGTTTAGTATATTCTACTGAACATAATCATCTTCCAAGAGACACCTACATTTTCAATTCTCCTCCTTGTCTGTGGCCCACTTGTTTCCACCAAGTCCAACCAGGATGCCATTAGTCAAGTGCAGTAAACACAAGGTGGGAGGGAAGTTGATGCAAATTCTCAGGATAAGGCTAAAATGCTTTGCTCAATCGGGTTTCTCTTTAAACCAGGTCCTGATTACAAGGAGCTGGATGTTCACCTTCGGAGAATGGAGTCTGGGTTTGGCTTCAGGATCCTGGGAGGAGATGAGCCTGGGCAGCCTGTGAGTTATTCCTTCCTGATTTTCCTTTTCATTCAAGATTCTATAATCTGTGTGAAGGTCAGAAAAATATTACTACATAATTGAGCCCAAATGAACACCATGTTAAGGCTACAAGTAAAATGACTTCCATTCATACACAGAAAAAGACAGAATTCTCAGGTTGTTCACATCTAAAAGGTGTCACAGAGAATTAAGTTAGAATAAAAAGGCCTTAAGGTGGAAGCAGAGCATCAGTCATCCCCCCATTACTGCAGAGTGTGACCTGGCATCTCTTAATCTGGACTTTCCAAAATCGAGTTTAAGCAGAAGATTCCAAAAATCCAATTATGTAAGACTGTCCATAACCATGTTCAGAGTAGGTAACTTGAATGCAAAATGTATTCATGTGCTTAAAAGACACGGTCAACGATGCAGTTTATTTCCAGAAACAGAAGACCTCCCCAGGGAGTGATAGTCAATGTTCCAGGTTAAATGACAACATCATGTGAGGCAGCAGACATAAAAATGATAGTTTTATATCATCAGGAGGGAAGCACCCCTGTAACCAAAGAACAGGTAACAAAATGAACATAGATGGTTTGCTAATAAAATATAATATAAAATAAGCCATATGCACAATATTTAAAAGAAACAGTGTAGAAGCCCAGAAAATAAAAGTCAAATGTGCATGACACACCACAAATGTGTACACATTTTGATAAATTACTGATCTATCTAAATACTATAATTTTGAAAGCAGGCAGAATTAGTACCCTTTCAGAAAAAACCTCAATGGTGTAACTATTGAAACTATAGTTTGACAGCTAAGACTAATCTCAAATCAGTAATGATAGTCCTTTACTATCAGAATTTTAAGCACAGTCTGAGTCTTGTGTTACCACATTTCTGAGATAATGTATAATTAAGTATTAGATTTGTATATTCCCTGATCGATTATTTATATATTCCATATTCAAATTAATACAGAATAGTGTATTTTTTATTCAAGCCTTAAGATTTACCAGCACATGGCTTTGAGAATCAAAGAATCTCAGATTTTAAATTTGTCAGCATCTGTCAAAGCACTGATAAATCTTAACAGTTTACTGATGTCTCCCATAAAAGGAAAAAAATGCGGTGTAGTCTAAAAAAGATGCTTCAAATGCTATTTGAAATTCAGTCTAGCTTAGAATAAGCATTTTCAATGGTTTTTCAAATATTAAGTGTGCTCAGAAGGACTCCAACACACTACTGCATCATCCTCTACACTTGCAGTGTCTCTGAAGCCCCTCTGAAATGTAACTTCCTTCTGTGGAGCATGTCCTAGTGTACATAAAAAGAGGCCAATGAGCCATCATCTGCACATTCTCCAGCTGAGCATTTTTCCTGTCCCTTCTGGGCAGCCCAGCCAGTAGAAATTCTCAGAGCACACCTACTGGGTGAAGCCTAAAAGGAAACCCATGAGGTGTTAGTGGAAACGTTCCATTTTATCTTTTAGAATGTTAGGAAATGGCACTAGAAAGGCACAACCTTTAAGACCAGGTTGGATGGGGCTTTGAGCAGCTTGGTGTAGTGGAAGGTGTCCTGCCCATGGCATGGCAGGGAGATTGGAACTCGAGGATTTTTTATGTCCTTTCCGACCCAAACCATTCTATGATTCTGTGAAGATGTGGAAATCTTCTACCTGCTCTGGACAGTAATGTCTAATGGCATTTCCTATCTCCCAGGAAAGTGTCCCTGGCTACAAGGCTGTTCAGTATTTTGTGAGAGGCTCTCTTGGTGTCTCCTTTAGTTCTTCTTTCATTACAAATGGATAATTAAACAGTCACAAGGCGTCTGACTGGCTCTGCTTGTTGGAGGTTTACGACAAAATCATGGGGAAAAGTGCAGCTCAAATGCCTTATCTACAAAATGATTATTTATATAAAACTGAATGATTTCAAGCTAAAGGACTAAAAGAAAACTCATGTAGAATATCTGATATTCTGGTAGTTCATATCCATAATACATGCTGGAGTTGTGAGAGACTTGAGTCTCTGCTCAGCAATCCAGTAGAAAAGAAATTCTGAAGCAAGCCTTTTGCCCTGCAGCTACATGCATTATGCACTGAAGTATTACAGAGGACCAGCTCTTTCTAGTGTCTCTTCAGCAAAGGACTGACCTGACTTTACTGTCTGAAGTCAAAGAGCCATAGCTGGATATCAAGTGCAGAGATAAGCACCTTGCTATTTTTGGAGAGCAGGACCAAAAACGCTGCCCTCTGTGAACCACCCTCTAACACATTTCACTGTCCTGTTGAACAATTGCTCTCAGCCTGCCCTTAGCCTCAAGATTGCTATCTCTGTTCCATGGTTTGCACATAAAAAAGCATTTGTCCCCAAGACTTATCAATCCAGTGGGGTTTATGTGCCTTTGCAAAAATTTCTCAATTTCTCAGGAGTTAAGAAAAGCCTAACTTGAAACTGAGGAATGTACAAGGCAAAAAGGCACCTTCTTAGAATTAAGTGTTGCAGTGCTGAGGTTTTCAATTCTCACTCCCTCATTGTTGCCCATCTTGTTTTCACTGCTCAAATTCAACTCCAATAAAGACAACAGATGTACTCTTTTAAGTGTCCCTCTATTTTGTATTCAAAGTACAAGACTTCTTAACTCTGTTCTCTCTCCTCCACTGCTTCCCTGCTCCCCCATGGATAGCCCACCTGCAGCCTCCCATTCCTTTCACCTCCAGAAAAGGAGAAGCAGTTTTTGCCAGTTCTCCAAACCCCTGCCTTTTCTATGAAACAAGAACTGAGACACTTTGAAATTTTTATTTCAGCTCTCCTGCTGTGCAGTCAGGTAACACAGAACAAAAGGAAGCTTTTGTCTTTGTGGTTTGATTTCTAAAAAGGAATATGGATTCTTCAGCATAAGGCAATAACTTTTTCAAAGAAGCAGAATCCAAATAAAGTTATTTTGGAAGGATAATACTGACACTATAGAAGGACTGTAGCTTAGTTTCCTTCTAGTTATATCAGCTCCCTAGCACCTTAGAAGGAGAAAATGCTGCTGTACTGCTCTACTTTCCATATTTGTAAGCCTAAAAATGCTTTTGAAAGGAAATACTTAAATTTATTGCAAAATTTCAAATATCAAGACTGTGAGTTGCTCCAGGTTAAATAACCTCTCAAATCTTATAATATTGCACTATAACAACTATTTATCACTTCTTCCAGTAATTTAAGGATTTAGAGATAATCTGACTCTGTTATGATGAATTATAATGTTACTGAAAGGTTGCAAAAACACATAAATTGGAACTTTACTGAAGTTGCAAATGGCTGTCCCAAGGGGAGATGTATTTTGCATATATTTGTGCAGCTCAAACTCAGAATCATAGGTACATAGACATAATTTCTCTAAGAGAGTTTTACCTTTTCAACACAGACGGACTGAGATTTTTCTCAAAAATGCCCTCAAGATATATGTTTGTATTCTTTTTATTATCAATGCCAGGATACATTCTAAGTATCTTTCTACATTTCTAAGACATAGATATCCATAGAGCAAAATGTTAAGATAAGGACATGCCTTGTGAAGTCCTATTTTAGCAGTGATTAGACAGAGTTCAGATGATTAGCTTGGATTTAAGACATCACTGACTCTTAAAATCACCCTTTATGTATATACTTAAATTTTTCTATGTGCCTGTGAAGCTATTGTGTTATATTCAGAGACAATAAAATACAAATTCGGATAATTACCAAGAATCACAAAGAAAGTCTATATCAAAGCAGATTAAGCTGTGTAAATTAATAGACACAGGCTTTAATTTCAGATTAGGCTCTGCCACCATCATCCTAATCCCAGAATTTGTCCTGTTTAATCTCAAATAGGAGAAACTTTTCTTTTTCTCTACAACACACTCTTTATTGCTTACATGCCATCATCCTTCTCCTCACGCATTCAAAGCAATCTCGTGCCAGTATGAAACCACATTTCAGAGGTAATATAATCCTGATACATATTTTTCCAATTTGTGCTTTACGTGTAGAATTGATAACTATTATGGCAACTTCTCAGCCATGAAATGAGAATAGATACTGCATAAGGAACAAATTCAGAAACAGAAAATGAAAAAGTAGGAAAATTAAGTTATTCTGGATATTAAATATACCAAATAACAGATATCATCTTGACAAACACACCTAGCTGAAGTGTTTGAAGTATGACTGCTGCTTATGTTAGGAGTCCGACACTGAGTAACAAAATCACAGTCCATGGTGTACATGTGAAATATCAGCAATAATTACTTAGTCAGAACTAGAAAGAATATTTTCGGTTTTGACTTACCACACTGTGATCTGCGTTTTATTTTTCCAAAGGTTAAAGATGTTCAAATTGTTTAATATTTTGTCAGAAAATTATGAAAAAACTGCAAATGCTCAACAAAACCAAAGAAGGAAGCAAGTCCCTACAATCTCCCAAGCTGCAGAGGTTATCACCCATCTCTTCTCAAAATTCCTACTCATGTGAGATGCTTAATTCTCAAATGTTTTGAGAATACTTTGTGGATATCTAGCTGAACGTAGCCTTGGAGAGCTTTTCTTCCGTCTGGTAAAGGAGCATAAATACATATTTCATAGTTGAATTTTGCACAAAGCATTTTCCAAAGCTTTGAGGTATATTATTTCACCATTTGAAGAACAGAATGGAGAACCTGAAACAGCGTCTCTAGCCACTCAGCCTGGCACTGCTTAACAGGATCCCAGGAACACCAGAAAGCAGGAAAAAGCCGCATCATGTTCTCTCTTTGCTAAGTTTTGAAAGCAAAAGTAAGCCAGAGAGAGGCTAAAAACTGGGGAAAATTCTCCAGGCTCCATAGGGGATTTCATTCAAACACTATGCTGAGATACTTGCAACTCTGCAGCAAGACCACAAAAAAAAACCACAGGCCCACCTGTGTGACTACCACATCTAGCCTTTGCAATTCATCCTGAAAAGCAATGCTTCGTATCTTTTATCTTTTATTGTTTAAAGCAGATTGTCACATGGCATGTTCTATCCATCATTTTGCGCTCAGTCTCACATTGAAAAAGAGAACAGAAAATTTGGAACACACTCTGTGAATGCTTTAATATTCTTTCAAAGAAAGCAGGTTTTGTTTGAATCAATCTCAACTGTTCTAGCAGTTATTCCATGGGGAAAATATATACATCTTCTTCTAATAAATTATGTCAAATTATCTGCATAGAAAATGGAGAAATTCATTACAAGGTTTTGGAAAGATTTTTTACTAGTTTATATGTCCAATGCAAACTACATTTAAATGTTGATTTGGGAAAACAACATCTGCCCAGAACAAACTGACATTTTTTCCTCTTTTTTTACATTTTAATCAAGCACTGCCTGAGTAATCATTCATTAAGAGTAATAGCATTTAATATAGTACTTCTATTCCCCTAAAGAGTCCAAAAGCAAACTCTGTGTAGTGGGGTCACTTCCAGTGCTGACCTCAGGTATGTGACTCCAGGTGCTTGAATCACACAGCTGTGAAGAACCTTTGACAGGAAGTACATAGGCTTGCTAATTTTAAATAAAAAAGATCCTTACATGGAATTAGTCTTTTTAAGTCTTCTGGATAATGTAGTCTGTAGAAACTCAACACTCCTTAGAGACAGATTATTTGATTTGAACACATCAAGCAGAACTCAGATTAGGATTCTCTGGTGTATTTCTCCTTTGCAGGTAGGAAACACCTTACCCTCTTACCAAAGGCGAGGAAGCATCTTCAGTCATACCCATGAGAGGACAAGCAGAGCTTTCAGACACACACAGATCTCTTCACCTCTGCTAAATCCCTGCAATATTCATGTCACTAAACTGGAGGCTCGGTGTAATATATGACAGGACTTTGTTTCTTTGCTGCCTAGATCCTCATCGGAGCAGTTATTTCCATGGGCTCAGCAGACCGAGATGGTCGTCTCCATCCTGGTGATGAGCTGGTGTACGTAGATGGGATTCCAGTGGCCGGCAAAACCCACCGATACGTGATTGATCTTATGCATAACGCTGCCCGAAACGGGCAGGTGAATCTTACTGTGAGGAGAAAGGTGCTACCCACGGGTGAGTGAAGGCTGGGAAAGGTGAAAGGAAAAACAGATCCCAGTGCTGGCAGCACAAACAAGTGCTGTTTTTAAAAAATAGAGGAAATCAAAGTGATTGATTGTGTCGTTTTGAGGAAAGAATTGTAAATATGTGTCCGTTGTTTCTCTGACAAAAATACTACAACTGAGTGTTGTTTCCTTCAGAAATGGAAACATACTGGCAACCCTGGTGTGGTGATCATAAGTGCTCTGGGTTTGTTCCATGCTGTCTTGGTCTGTGCTGTCTGCTTTAGTCCACTTTCGGGACTAAACATTCACCTGAGTTAAAGCCATTTGAGCTGACTATGTCAATAAGAGAAAGGCTCAAAGACTCTTAACTGTACAGGGCAGGAACTCATTTCACTCTTGTATGTGTTAAAAGCCCATTTCTGGTCTCACTGATGTCATCTGGAATTTCCCACTGAACTCCAGTGCAAGCTGGCTGAAAATCTTCTGTAGAGGGAACAAGTGGCTCATATGAATAGGGCCAGATTCTTCTGTCAAGCAGACAGATTCAGAAAATGAACCTAAACCAATATGAAGTATATGTAGTAAATTAGATGTTTAGACTGGCTCAGTCCCAATTGCTGAAAAACATCAGAACCTTGAAAAATGTGTGTGGCAGAACCTATTAAAGCTTTAATGGGATAATTTGATGACCTTCCATTACAACCTTTGCTTACTTGAGGAAAGAAGTTTATTTAAGAACTTCTAGAACATTGTTGGTGAGTACACTTCACTGAGGTACCAGAAATGAGCAAAACCACATTCCCAGCCTGTCCTGTCTTCTGCCTGCCCGTGCCCTAGATCCACTGTCACTGCCTGCGCCGTTCCCCTTCGTTCCTGTGCCAAAAAGCCGCCCACCCACTCACCTTCGTCTTCGCAGTCCCCCTCCCACTGCGGCACCGCAGCTCCCTGCCAGCCGTGCTCCTGCGGGACTGACTTTCTTCTGTTACTGACTCCAGAGTCCTCCAGCCAGAAAGGTGCCCCCGCGCCGGGTGCGACGCCCCCTCGCAGCTCCCCCAGCGCGAGGAAAATGGCCAATAACCAAGGTAATGCCAACTCCTCGCCTCGGCCGCGTCCGGCACACTGCGGGCAAAGCCGGCCCTCGCTGCTGCTGCTGCTGCTGCTTAAATGTTAAAGGGTCTGCCAGCCAGCCTGGGCTCCTGGTGCAGACAATAAGCAAGCTGGTAAAACACCTGAAGTTATTCTTGGGCCTTGAGAGTGCCACACCAGGGAATGTAGCATGTAGCTCATTAATGTTTAAGCATTTCAGGAGCTGAGCGGGATTTTAATGTGGTGTGTTACAACATAAGCTTTGTGGGAAAATTTAAAACAACTGATGTTGGGCGTGACTGAAAAATGCTATACTAATACATCAGGCCAATTGATTTCATGGGTATTTCTCAGTAGCATGAATGTATACAACAGAGGGATCTGGGGTTTTCCTTACCTGTCTGTAGCTGATATACGTGTCTTAGCCCTCACCTGGAATTACCATTTTTTATATGTACTTACCCAGATCTGGAACAGAAAACCACAATTCACAAGATCTGGAAAACAATTCATTAGGAAAATGTGATTTCTCAAACCACATGGATTAAAATGCAGTTTTTTCACAGGCAGGAGCAAAATGCAATTTTTTTGATTAATATCTATTGCAGAGTTGACAGTCAAATAGCCATTTAAGCTTTTCCTTCTTTATCATTCTTTTCCTATATTTAATGGCATTCAATTGCATTTTTTTATGGCCAAGCCAGCTCTTGGTCATTCTGCACGGTAAGAGAATTTCCTTTCTGTTGCAGCCATACTGACATAAACAATATTCAGTTTTCTGAAGCACGACAGCCAGAAAATGAGAGCTGACTATGGCATTTAGTTGCAGATTTGGTTCGATAACTCTTAGAGATTTTCAGGAGTATGATAATTGTTTGTTTTTCTCCCTCTTTATGCTCTCTAATTACTTTATTTCATAGTTGCAGAAGGACTGCTAAAGGACACACCTGACTGAGAAAACAACAGCTTGTCCTTGGATGCTGTTTATTTTATTAATATATACACACACTGAAGATCTAATTTGCAAACTCTCTACCTAGGATGTATGTGTATATGTGGGAGCTCCTCACATGTTCAGTAAAATTACTCTGCCACTCTTGTTGTTCCAAATAGAAAACATAATACTTACATTTATCTGAAAGTTCTGTATTAAAATTGTCAATAAATGCTGATTTGTGTAAACAACTTAGATCTGCAAAGGATATAAATCTTTTTCCCCCATCTGGAAGTGTAAATTTACTGTTTGCAATTGTCAAAGTGCTCACACTAAAAAATATGTAATCCCACAAGTTTTAACTTGTTTCCTGTTCTTGTTACTGTAAAGCAATACTAAAGTGTGCATGGACTCCATTTTCACTTCTACCCTTTTGAACTTGCCAGACAGGAGCATCTCCAAACCTTTAAATGACCACTGCTTCTGCCATGACACCCACAGAAAAACTACTTGTGATCGTTTTTCATTGTATAACAGCTCTGCTCTTTGAACATCTTTTGAACATGCTAATCAACTCCTAAGAAGAACATTATGCAGCTAATCCTAATTACTCTGTTAGCTCCCTGCTTAAACTCTTGTAATCCAAACACAAATAATTTTTTATTGGATTAGATGGTCACATTTTCCTCTTGATGACAGATCCACCAGCAGACAAGGGATTTGCACTTGGTAATGTTTTTGGAATCTAGATAGACTCTGTTTCTTAGTTTCCTTTCTTTTAGCTAGTGTAGCAGTCAGTGTTCATACTTGCTTTATCTGATTGCTCTTGAATGTTCTGCATAATTGTGTAGATTCCTGTCTCTCTGCATCTATTACAGCTCCTAGTTTAATCCTTGGGGTAGTCTGGTCTGTAGACAGTCAACTGCATTCATGTTGCATTAGCAAATGTACTGTAAGTCACAGAGACACTGAGCAAGCCAGGCTGTGACACTGGTGTGATTTATGTTGTAGGAGAGCCCTGCCCAGAGAATGGCAGAAGCCCAGGCTCGGTGTCTACTCACCACAGTTCCCCAAGAAGTGACTACACGACTTATGCCAACAGCAACCACGCTGCCTCCAGCAGCAACGCGACGCCGCCCGAGGGCTTTGCCAGCCACAGCCTGCAAACCAGCGACGTGGTGATCCACCGCAAGGAGAACGAAGGCTTTGGCTTTGTCATCATCAGCTCCCTCAACAGGCCCGAGTCTGGCTCCACAATAAGTAAGGAAATCCTGTTTTTCAGTTCATATTGCTCTAAGTTTGCCCCAAATTAAAAAAAAAATAGTTAATTTAAACCTGTCTGCTAATAATTTATCACTGAAGAGATTTAAACTGAAGATACTCTCAATATTTATTCAGGGGCGCTGTTTGTCTGTTTTGTCTTGGACAAAACCAAAGATTGTTCTGGCCCCACGAGCCCTGTGCTTCCCACGCTTCTTTGACTATCAGTGTAAGAGAGGATTCACCCACAGAGTACATTTTCTCTGTTGCTATGTCAGAGACACTGTAAGTTACAAATAGGGTTATGTGAATAAATTATTCTCCTACATGCAACTGAATTAGACTTTTTTAATAAATCAAGATGAAGTTTCAGCAAGTTGAAAAAAGGCTTAGATCACAGCAAACCCTATGACAACAGCTGTCCAATTATGGGACTGCAGAAGCAACTGGAAAATGGGAGAACTTGTTAGATGCAGGTGCAGGGTGGAGTATAGACAGGATAAAAATTACAGCTTATTACAGGGGGATAGGTGTATCTCTCTGTATTCAGTAGTACTCAGGTGGCAAGATCTGCCTTTAATAATTATAGCTCACTTTCTGTTCAGAAAACTAATTTTTTCTATGGGTCAATTTTAGTGCTTTCGTATAGAAATCTGGTGCCACTGGAGCTGTCCTGGGTACATCTAGGGAGAGGTGAGACATATGACATAGGACCTACAGAAGACTCAAACCCACGTAGTGGCAACTGGAGGCACAGGGGCACCTTTGGGTCTTTCCAATGACATTTAACTCAGTGAGAGCTGACCCCTCTGGAAGAAGGAGGCACAAAAGGCTTTATATTGAGAGACATCCACATGTCCCATCAAATACTGCTAACCACAGCTGAAAAACCAAGAGAAGTGAAAAACCAAGAGAACATTCATCATTTTGCAAGTTGTAGCCTAATGTGATGCTTTCCCTGCACAAAAATATGTTTTGAAGGAACTGTTCTTTTGCCTGAAATTGGTTCCTGACAAAATAAAATCACAATTTCAACTTCTGGGCCAAACATCAGTCTTCTAAATTCATACCTGAAAAGCAGCTAAAAGAGTACTGAGAAAACCTTACGTCACAATAGCAAGTGAAAAAGAAAACTTTTTTGCAGTATTTCAGGACCATGCAGTTATTAAAAGAATTGCTTTTCATGTTATCTCAACTGAATTTTAAAACTCCATGATTGCTGGAATTATTACTGTAACAAACCATAGCTAATTAGCCTCTTGGGACTCTGAGTTTTCACATTACTGAATATAATAGCCAAAGAACTGGAAGTCCTTTGGAGAAGATCACAAAAGGAAAAAAAATCCATTGAGGTACATACATGTTAATCAGTTAAGTCAGTCATGATTTTTTCAAGAAAATAATTTTATAGACAGTTTGTTGTTGGGGCAGATGGAGAGGGAAAGGGGAGAGGAAGAGAAAGAGAAAATGCTCAAGCAACTAAAAATTCTGTGAATGGAATAGTCTCTTGAAGACTAAGGACCCAGGTTCAAGATCCTGCTATGCCTCCTACCCTCCAACATGTTCTTTCAGTACTTTTCTTTCTCCACAAGCAACTATGCAAGCAGTCATTTTTGATGCTCAGTTGAACATCTCCAGTAGTAAAGGGAAATGACAGCCTGCTGTGGAAGTGACAAGAGAATTTATTCAAATAATAACTGCATTGAATTTCAGTGATCCCAAAAAGTACCAAATCCTAAGTTTACAAGAACAGCAGTGAACAAAAAATTACATTTGCTATAGACAGTGACAGAAAAGAGAAGACAATACCCTTTCTGTATGAATTCTGTTACAAAACGGTAGTAGAAAAAATATCCTGAAAATTACATTATCTGTCATCAGTAATGAAAACAATCTAAAAATTATTGACTCTTTCTAGGGTAAGAGAGGTTATTCTCTTACTTAATATTTATTTGGGTGAAGTAATTTGAGCTTTATTGACAGGAGCATAGCCAGTATATTGAGGGAAATTATTACCCCTTTTACTCAGCACTCACTGGCATCCATTCAGAATACAGCCTCTAAGTTTTGGGCCCTTTGGTAGAAAATAGAACAGAGAAACTCTCCTGAGGTACCTTCTAGCTTGAAATAACATAAAATCCTTTTCTTGAAATTCATAATCAGGGGTCGAAAGCATACCAGCAGCAGGAAAATATCAAATGGATTGTCCAAAATATATGATACATCACTATCAAAATGTAGACCTGCACAGCACCATGCTACCAGTTACTCCTTCTCATAGCAGCAATATGTTAATTGAGTGAAATGTGCCAGTGTCCCTTGTTTCAGAGGCAGTGCACTTGTTGCCAGCCCCTGTATCCCCATGTGGAACAGAATGATGTCATGCAGACATGCGTGCGCAGTTAAATGTTTATGTTGTAATTGCAAAGAAATTCTGAAATAATCAAAATGGGAAAAATAGGTCAAAAAAGGGAGTATCATGTAGTGGCAGACACTGTTAGGAGGAGCAGTGCCCAGGAAGTTGTCTCACTGGGAGCATCCTCAGGGCAAAGTGAAGAAGGGTTCCTTTGATTTAAGAATGTTTATTTCAATAACTCTATTCCCTCCTCTACTTTTCTTGCAAGAGCAAAAGACTTGAGGTCTTGGAAGAAAAAGTAGCATCACCACTTTCACTCAGGAAGGCAATAAATTATGCATGTATTATTATTATGTATTATTATGTATTTTCCTTGTTGTTGAAATCACACAAACTATATTTTACAGTCCAACAGATTACAGCAGCTCTTGCTGAGTCCAGGACAAGCCCTTTGTGTCACTAGGTGTGTGTGCTTCAAGCACTGCTAAAATTGAAGCAGTCATCCCAGCAATGTTGCTACTGGCTACAGAGCTGCAGGTTCATTAGTTTGCTGCTTTGCAGTTGGCCTGGAGCTGAAGGGGTTGCACAAAAGCTGACCTTCTGTTTGCCAGGAGAGTTTGCTCTGTCTGTGAAGCTGTAGGACAATCCCATGAGGTCACAGCTGTGGTGCTGAGTCTCAAATCCCTTTCCCACCCTCTGATGGAGTGTGGGCTGCACTGCTCCCACACAGCCTCTTAGGAGTGCTTCTTGCTCCTTCTGACCTGAGAATGAGCCATGAAAGGCTCAGGAGCTCCCAGAATTAGAGATTAAACTCTTTTTCCAAGAGGCTTAGACTCTTGGTCAGCTTTTCTCTCAATATGGTTTGCAAGGGGGTTGTTGTTACCGTTGATTTATGGGCCTGCCTTTGCCATGCAGAAATTTTTAAAATACAAAATGCTTTTTTCTCACTGTTGATGTAGACACAGAGTGAGGGTAGACTAGAGCCATAATTAGGAAACACACCAATTTTTCACATTTTGTGATGGGCAGCACTGTAATAGCTGTCATTTTGATAAATTAACATTAAGTACTTTGGAGCCAGCTTTTAGATCTGAATGTCATTTTTCCTTACTGGTACTTGCTCAAACATCCAGTTCTTGTGGCATGATTATTTTCCTGCGTCTATAATGGTAGAAATTTTGTTTCCTCTTTGTCAAAGCATTGCTTGGGATGTTCTCTAATCCAGCACAGGGGATTATCATGCACTGAACTACAGTTCTGATGTGGGGAGATGAGGAGTGGAAAATGAATGACAAGGATTGAATGAAGAGATTTTACAGGGCAAAGCAGGGGCGTAGAAAAGGTCAGCCATGCTTCAAAATTGTATCAGTAAAAGGAGATAAAGTGGATAAATAAAGAGCTGTGCTTGAGTGGTATATCCAGGAGCAAGTCATTTTGCCTAGTGCAGCACGCAGAGGATCTTAGAGTGCTAAGAGATTAAGAAAAGAAAATACACCTGTCCAGGCGCCTGACCTATTTCCAACGAAAGGATTAACTTCCACTGCCTCTAAAATATATTATTGTGCCTTCCCCAGATCCTGTTCCAACATTAAAGGGGGACATGGCTCTCATCCCTTCTCCACACATGAGAAATTACGGCTAAAATACTTAAATTTAAATGATTAATCTACACTTTGCATTACATTTAGGGAAATATTTTTAGGATATCAAGAGAATTTCACTATCTGCAGCCTATGGAAAAGCACTTGCAGACTTCTGGAGGTGGCCAGAATGAGATTTCTGCATGAATGTGTCCCAGAGTTTTATGGAGGAAAATTGGCCCTGCCTACTTCATCTCTTCCTGACACTTACTTTTTGTGTTTGGGATGCAGCTTCATCTAGAATAAGTACTTGTGATCCCCTGTCAATCTCTTTACATTGTAATTGTTTTAGAGAGAAATCACGTGTTGTAAATAGACCTTGTTAACTGGCAACTTTCAATGAAATTGGAAATTTGGCAATATTTCCAGGAATTTTACTATAGCAGGTACTGTCAATTAGCACAGTTACAAAGTGTAAACAAACTGAAAATATACACCTAATCAATAAACAATTTTCAAAAAAATTAAAGATTGTGCATACTTGTTATGATCTTCCTCCTGCTTCACAAAAGAGGAGTAGTAGATTTAATTTGCCCCTACGCTGCATATGCCAGTGCCTGCTGGATTTTCAAAACATGATAAAACAGACTCTAATGAAAGAAGTTTCTTTCATTTCTGGAAACATGCAGTCTTAAATAAAAAACATAAATCCAAGAGAAGCCTCTGCTGACTGCAGAAAACAGCATTCTGTATAAGTCTCATTCAGCCCAGAGTTTCTTTGAACTCCTTAGAGTTTAGAGATAAAAACCAGCTTGTTAATCAGTGATAACTGTGTGATCTGAGTTGTTTGTGCAGCAATTTCACCTATGCTTTTTCTGAGTAAGATGGGACATAATATTATGTGACCAATCTTCACATTTTAAAGGATATAGAGCTTTGGAAATTAGAATATCTGTCTACCCCACCTAGGACATTTTTGGAGCATAACAGTGAAAATCCACCCACAGTGTGAGTCCGCCATGGAAGATATTTTCAACTTGTGGGCAAGGAATCTGGATTCTCAT